GGGCCAAGTGTTGGTGCATACCACTTCAAACAGCTCTAGCTCTGTTGCCTCGAAATATTTTCTTCCTGGGGTCCCAGGCCACTGGCTTCTCTATGCAGGGTGCCAGCTCAGCATTGGACTTCTAAATGATGATGTGCTGCAGGCCAGTCCTAAGGTGTGTTATTTCAGTGCATACTTTTTCTCCTGGGAGCCCTCATTCAGCAACCTAGCTTTAGATCACTGCCCTAAAAACATAGCTCCCGCCCCAACCTCTTCCCTGAGGTCCAGCACACACACTCAGCTTCCTCTTTTTCATCTCTACTTGGATATCTAACAGTATATTGTATATTGGGTTTTGGAGATAGGAGTTGGTTCTATACCTCAGGCTGGCCAAGAACTCACTAGCCTTGCACTTGAGGCAATCCTCTTGTCTCAGCCTTCTGAATGCTAGAATTACAGGCTTCATACCTGGCCCCTAAAAGCATCTTAAACTCATGTTCACCACTGACTTCTTCCCTTTTCCCACTCCCCTAAGTACTCCTTTCAGTATTCTCCACTTAAGGGACTGATAGCACAGTTGGTTCTTTTGCTCAGGCCACAACCCTAAAGGCCATCTTTCACAGTCTCTCCTCTACTCATATCCAGTCACATCCAAGCCTCAGCATGCTTAACTTCAATCAGTCTTCTCAACACCTTCATTGCCACACCTGTCCAGGCCATCGTCTCCCTGGTTGAGCTGTTGCTCCCTGGCTGATCTTTTGTTTCTCTATCCACCAATATTTGGGCCATATGGTCACTCCCTTTCTAACTAGCTCCTCCACGCTCCTTGAGAAGGCTATGCTCCCTCTGATCACAGGGCTGTTCTTTGTATGTATTTCTACTGGCAGGTAATATTTTTTTCATTGCTGTTTGCCTCTCGCTTCCTATATTAGCTTTCGGCTCAAGTTTCACCCCTTCATGGAAATCCTCCCTATTTCAGTCCAGAATAAAATTCCCTTCAAAAATATCCTCACAGACACAATTTCTTTGTATTTTTAGCATTAATTTTATACTAATTTGGCACCAGAAAAACCTGCAGTATAGATGGGTCAGTGAATGACCTCTTCTAAGGATTGTTGATTGAACAAATCAGTTGTTTGCATTCTTGCTCTCTCTCTCTCTCTCTCTCTCTCTCACACACACTCACACATACACACACATGCACACACAGGCACACATACACAACCTGTATCTTTCATTTGAAACTTAAGTTGGTTATTGTATGGTATGTTTGAAGTCAATAGGCACACAAAATAAACAAAGTAAGGACCTAAGATTTCAAGTGAAGGACTAATTTTCCCCAGCAGGCTAGAATGCTATAAAATTTATCACTTACAAAAGATGCATAAATACACACACATGCACACACAAGCACACATACACAACCTGTATCTTTCATTTGAAACTTAAGTTGGTTATTGTATGGTATGTTTGAAGTCAATAGGCACACAAAATAAACAAAGTAAGGACCTAAGATTTCAAGTGAAGGACTAATTTTCCCCAGCAGGCTAGAATGCTATAAAATTTATCACTTACAAAAGATGCATAAAGTTGAGACTTTATTTTTGTACTTTATTTCACAATGTGTATGGGAAGGGGGAGGAGAGAAATGTCTCTCAATGTGTCCTGTATTTTTGGTACTTAGTTTTCACTGTCCTTATGTTCCTTCCATCTCAGATTGAGCAATTATCCTCATTAGAAACACCTACCATTGCTTACAATGGGCATAGGGTAGCTAGGCAAGACAAAGGGGAAATTGCATGTCCTTGTGGAATTGAGACTGGTGTATTTGCAGTGTTACAAGTCATTACACATGCAGGTAGAGATAAATAAAAGCCATGCACCTCGCATCTGATCCCACCTTTTGGAAAGAGGCCACCTAAAGCAGAAGTGGTAAGATTGAGACACTACAGCTATGGGTGAAGTTAAAGCATTTAACTCACTTGCATACAGGAATAAAGGGTGAATACACAAAAGAATATTAGTTTTGAGGGGTACACTATTTAGTTGAGTTCAAGGTTAAGTTGATCGCTCAGCTAGCTGTTAGCAACTGCACATGTATGAAGCGTACACATGGGTTAATGGAAATGGAAGTTTGGGTTAAAGGGACTCTTTGAGAAGCCTTAATCAAAAGCTTATCTGAGAAAGTTAACAGCATGGAAGAAAAGGTGGTGAACTTTAAAAAGACAGATCTAACTCTTACAACTCGCATTTGCAGTTAGCAAAGTGCAATATTTTCTTTCAGTGTACACTCTTTAAAATATTTTAAATCTCTTGGACATCTTTAAGAAATCCATCCTCCCATCCTCCCAGTCTCCCTCCCTCCCTCTCTTCCTCCCTCTCCTCTTTCTTTTGCTTACTTCCTTCCTTCTAGCAGAATCTTGCTACATACCCCAAGTTGGCCTCAGACTCACAATCTTGCTTTTAGCTTCCTGAGTGTGGAATTACAGGTGTGTGTACCACCAGACTCAACTCAGAAACTTACTTTTCTATTAGTGTTATACAGGTTAACAGTAAAGACAAATAATCTAGAGGAGGCAGCACGCAGAGGCAGTCTGTTTCAACTTGAAGTCCTGCCCATGAATGAGGCTGGACATGCAGCCACCAGCCATTGCCATGGAGAAGCAGGGCCAGACGGCTATCGGCACTAGACGGGGTGGCAATGGAATGACAGCATTGTGCTTAGCAAAAACTGATGACCTTATTCTTGGGTCTACTATGGGAGAAATCTTCACTGAAAATGTATTACACAGAGCTCATCTTTAGAAAAATTTTCTTATTTGCTCAGTATTGTAGATGGAAACCTTGATCATTATGTTTATGTAAAAGCAGAATGTGCTCTTCTTAGTCTGTTACCTACTAGTATGTCCACCAAAGCCTTTGTAAATGTAGTAGGGAATCTTTAGGTGGGTTGGACAGAGACAGTGTTTAATATAAAAAATCACACTATTGTCATGGCTTCCAGTAAGCTCAAACACAGAGCCTGCATGCCTAAGGAAGAAAATGCTAAATTGATTTTCAGTTTGTCTGCCACTGAAAAATTTAATTGAAGCTAAAATGTGGCTGTGCATGAGGAACAAGCAGAGTGACAAAAGCCAGTGCTGTGCAATGCTGCTGCTGCTGACAGCCTGAACCCCTTCCTACTTGGCTCCCCAGATCACTTCATAAACCTCTCTGGGTACCCAGAAACTTTGGTGATTTAGACCAAATAAATGCATGGAAAAAGCTGCAACTTAAATCTGAAGCATCCAGACATCCAGAGAAATAGACACTTGATTCTACTCACAGATATCAAAATACATATGCTAAATTCTGAAGGGAGTGATTTCACTCGTCTCAATTAGTCCTCTAAGTGGAAAAGCTGCTCGGTGCTTATGTAAAATATAATATGCCACATTTTACTATTTGTTACTTCACAAAGTTTTTAACACATCATTTTAACACCTCTAGGTCTATAAATGTACCCTGCAGCCGAAGCCATATTAAGCACTTCTAATCAGAGCCCAATCCTGTGTTCCTGGAGTTCTCGCCGTCATCATACCTGGGCATCTGGGGGGACAGATGGTGACCTTGGCCTAGGGAGGATGTGCAGAGAGACCCCCTTCACCCTGAGCATGTCGGGGCTGGCATTTGGAGAATGGCGGATGGAAAGAATGTTAGTGAAATGGGCTAATTCACAATTTCGGAAGTGATGATCAGGATGCTTTCCTGAAGTTCACCTTCATTCTCTTTCTTGAAACCAGGGAGACAGGAAACCAAGAGAGCAAAGTCCAGGGATGCTGCCTGCTATTCTGACCACACCCAAATATCCCATCTTGGCCCCTTCCTTCAGGTGTTATCCTTGTGGGACACTACTTTCAGCTCCTTATAGATCCTGTTCTAGAGATGAATGAAATGAACTCCAATCTTCATGTGTCCAGATCAAAGTTCACATCCTATTCCTATGGCTCAGCACTTGGTAGATGCTAAGTGTATTTGGTTGAGTTAAAAAGAATTAAGATGATAAATGACTCAAATATCCTGCAACATGAAACTGGTTAAATAAATTATGATATACCCACTCAATGGCATACTGCTCAACTGTAAAAGGAAAATAAAAACAAAACAAAACCATGAAAGAATGAGCACTTTCTATCTGCCTAGATTTTTAAGTGTAAGCAATGTACAGAGCAATGTATTTATTATGTTGCCTGATAGGCCTGTTATAAAGGAAGGCTATGTAAGAAACAAACAGAAGTGGTTACCAAAGGTTGGGGCAAGGCACAGACAGGTAAGGGAGAGAACGAGATTTCTCAGTGCATATCTTGCTAGATTGTTTTATTTTTTAAGAAAACCACATTTTTGGGGGGGTGGTGCTGGAGAGATGGAACAGCACTGGCTGTTTTTGTAGATGACCTGGGTTTGAATCCCAGCACCCACATGGTGGCTAACAACCATCTGAAACTCCAGTTCCAGGGGATCTGATGCCCTCTTCTGTCCTCTGAGAGAACTACACAACACAGGTATACTTACATACATGCAGGCAATACATTCATACACATAAAATAAAAGTAAAAATTAAAAAATTATTTAGAAAACACTTTTAAACTAGTGTTTTGGATACATGGTCTTACTTTGTAGTCCAAGCTGACCAAAAAATGACTAAGTAGCTCAGGCTGACCTAGAACTCACTATGTAGCCAAGGCTGACTTTGAACTCATGGTAATCTTACTGCCTTAGTCTCTCAAGCGCTAGGATTATAGGAGTAAACCACCAAAACTGACTATATTGTTTGATTCCTGAAGATATTAATATAGTCAATAAATAATAATTCAAGGCAATTAGAAATATTGTTTTAAAAAATTGAAAAAAGTTAATTTAGAGGTAGAGAAAAAGAACCCTAGGACTTGGTGGTATCAACTTGTGATTAAACTACAAAGATGATTTTATACCCCCTTCTTCTCCTGTACCTCGAGCTACAATTATTGACTGAAAAGACTTACTTGTTAGCAACCAAGCGCATAACGGTCCAATCCTTGGGGAACATCTCTGGGCGTATCAATATTCGGAACACAGTAAATATCTGCAGCAGGAAGTCCTTGGATAAGGAGGAAAGAGATGATTTTATTGATCTATTATGACTGTCAATAGACACACAGACAGACAGATAGACAACACCGATGCTGCCATTTTTAAAGCATCTGTAGCCTTACTTCTGAAACCTACCCAGAGAAGGGACCACACCTGTCCCATTCCCAACACCCACAGCAACTGGCTCTGTGCCCCATGCCCAAATGCTCCCCTTCCTTCTTCTCAGGAACGGGTAAAATGATTTCTCACTTCTCCTCACAAGTTCTACAAATTTAAGTTCTGGAAATAAAATGGAAAACTTGTAACAGAAGACAAGCAGACAAGCATTTTCCCTTCCTTCCATTACAGTGTCCTAAACATTACAACTTTTCAACCCTAGAGCACAAGAAATTGTCTTGGTTCAGTTAAGTGAGTGTGGAAATCTAGATAGAGAGTTATATTCACCAAAAGCATCTTTTATAAAACTCGGTGTGTCTTAGAGGGTGTTGTTGAGTTGCAGTACTAAGAGGATGTGTGTGGACTTATTGAATCTAAGTAATTCTTCCTGCCTGCATCATGCAGAACAAATTCCAATGACCCTGAATACTGAAGAGGGCCAGTGATGAATTCTTGCCTGCTACAAGAGTGTCAAGAGAGTCCTCCTAGAGGCAGTAGGCCAGAGGGCAGCAGCACGTACTATTTGTGTTACAACTGATAGCCCAGAAAGGCCCCTTCTCTTTTTCACTCTCTTTTATTTATATTAAATTTAAAAGCTTTTTGTTAAGGGCTGGAGAGACAGCTCAGCCAACAATAAAGAGTGTGTAGCGTTCTTGTAGAAGACTTGAATTCAGTTCCCAGCATCCATGCCATGTGACTCACAACTGCCGTAACTCCAGCTCCAGGGAATCTGACACCCTCTTCCTGCCTCTGAAGGCAACTGCATTTATGTGCATATACTCTCTTCCCCACATAATTATAATTAAAAATAAATCTTAAAATAAATAAAGATTTGTTAGTAATTGGTAGATAGGATTACATGTTTTTATCATGTACAATAAAATATTCACAGTACATATACATTTTGGAATCGTTGAATCTAGCTAATTAGCAAATGCTTTGCCTTATATAGTTACCATCTTTGTGGTGAGAACATTTAACACTTTTGAAAAGAAACTGGCATCAGATACAGAAATATCAATCACCAGACATGGAATTATCACGTCTTAAAGCATTACAAGAGCTAGGACCCAAAATACTGTAGCACATGATACTTAAAGGAAGGGCAAGAGGTAACAGACCACATGTTGTAAAAGAATTGGAGCTTCTTTTACTCAAAAGGAGATCAGTGCAACCAGTTTTTAGTTAGATTTATCAACTAGAAAACTTAAAAGCTTTATTTTAAATATATTTCTCTAACAATCTAACTGAAAGCAAGAGTGTAATATTGTTTAAAAAATAAAAAGCAACTCAAAACACAAGATTTGTATTTATCAAACCCAGCAACACATTATGTTAAACACGTAAGCTGCTGAATATAAGATTATGATTGCCACTCATATCAACAGAAGACAGAAAGAATGAAAACTGAGAACCATGTGGTAACTTTTTGGTGTGTGTATGTTTTTCTTTTTACACATTCTAACAGCTTCAATCAAGCCCATAAATATTTTGACAGGAATTTATTTTAGCTTTTTTGGCATCCACACACATATGTTGATATGTAGTATGCAGCATGTGCAAACATTCACACTAGGTCATCTGTCCTTAAAAGGCCACACAGATCCTGCCTATGTCTCCACTGTCACCAGATGGGTCCTAAGGTACTCCACTGCCTTAGGTGATGATGTGGTCAGATAATGTGGAAGCCTGGGAATGTAGCTTAGTGGCAGAGCAAGCACTGGACATGAGAACCTGGGTTGCATATTGGGTCCTTCTAGCCCTACACAATACGTCATTAGCATATTAAAACTGTAAGAAGCCCTTTCAAAAGTACTTCTAAATATTATTCTAATGTTTTTTCCAGGTGATTCTTTTGGGTTTCTCAGACATGACTATATATCTTTGACAAGATAATTTTGCATTTATCTTTCAAAAGTTTATCGTGTTGCATTTGCTTAAATAGATGAAGTAAAATCACGTAAGCAGGGAGTCTGATTTTCACAGACTTTTCACCTTATAACTTTTGTCAGCACTGGAAACTGGAGGTCTCACATTGCACATTGTATGTGTGTCGGGGGTGGGGTGGGGTGGGTACGGACTGGGCTGACAGCTGCAGAACTGACTGAAGGCAGCTCTAGAGGCAAGTCTCTATCCTTCTAGCTGGCAACTTCAGCTTTTCTTTTGCAGCACTGGGGTCAAAGGGCACATTATTCCAGATGCTTTCCCATTTTCTTATTTCCATTCACAAAATAAAGAGCTGTAATAGCATGTGACATTGGACTGACATAAATCATTATTTCTAATGAGAAAATTTCTCTGTGCCTCAAAGTACCCAGAAAGAAAAAAAATTTACAGACAACCACAAAATCTAGATTTTAACTCTGGCTCAGCAAGTAAATAAACAGTTCAGTGACTCTGGAGACTTATTTCATCTTTGAAGAGTTGAGCTTTTGTATTTGGAAAACATGAGGGCTTTGGGGTCTCCTACAGCTTGAAGAGACTGGTAAAAATTAGTATGATCACTTACCTATTTATACAGTAACCTGCTATTTTTCTTTTTTCTAAACTTAATGTTTCCTCAGACCACATGGTGAGAAGACATCATGTTCTGCTGTGTACTAACCTGCAACTTAGTTTAACCACTATTTGTCATGCAAGAGGTAATATTCAGTTTCAGTATCTAAAGCCCAGGACCTGAGTGCTAGCTCCCCTGTATGTTCCTCTTTCCTCCCCCAATAAGTGCCACTCAATCTCTTTCTTTACATCAGAAGATGAAAGGACCTCCCCTGATCATGGATTGGAAGAATTAATATTGTGAAAATGACCATCCTACCAAAAGTCATTTATAGATTCAATGCAATACCAATCAAAATCCCCACATTTTTCACAGAATTGGAAAAAACTATCCTAAGATTCATATGGAAGCACAAAAGACCTCAGATAGCCAAAACAACCCTGAGCACTAACAGCAATGCCAGGGGGATTACTATACCAGATTTTAAGCTGTATTACAGAGCTATAGTTATAAAAATTACATGGTACTGGCACAAAATAGACCCACAGATCAATGGAACAAAACTGAAGAACCAAATATGAGTAAATGCAATTTCAGCCACCTGATATTTGACAAAGGGGACAAGAATATTCATGGGAGGAAAGAGCATGTTCAGCAAATGGCAAAACTGGATCTCTACCTGTAGACGAATGAAACTAAACCCCTATCTTTCACCTTGCACAAAAGTCAACTCCAACTAGATCAAAGACCTCAATGTGAAGCCTGAATCTCTGAAACCATTAGAAGAAAACATTGGCAATAACCTACAAGATATAGGTGTAGGAAAGGATTTTCTAAACTGGACATCAATTGCTCAGGAAACAAGGGCAAGATTTAACAAATGGGACCTCATTAAACTAAAAAGCTTCTGTACACCAAAGGAGGCAACCAAGGAAGCAAACAGAAAACCCACAGAATGGGAGAAAATCTTCACCAGCAACACATCTTTCAGAGGTTTAATAACCAGAATATATAATGAACTCAAAAAACAGAGAACCAAGACAAGAAGCAACCCAATTAAAAGATGGGCTAA